TGAAGTTATATCAAGTTGGTGCACCAATGGAAAGAGTAGTCGTCGACATTGCTGGTCCTCTGCCCCAAACTTGCACTGTAAACAAGTACATTTGTGTGGTGATGGATTATTTCACCAAGTGGCCTGAGGCATATGCAATACCAAATCAGGAAGCTACAACTATAGCTTCAGCTTTGGTATGCCATACGAACTGCATTCAGATCAAGGCTGTAACTTTGAATTGGCTGTGTTCCATGAATGCTGCAAGTTGTTTGGCAGCCAAAAGACCAGGACAACACCACTTCACCCACAGTCCAATGGGATGGTAGAAAAGTACAACTGGACACTGGGACAGGAATTGGCAAAGTTTTGTAATAGTCGCGAAGATGACTGGGATGTCTTACTACCTCCACTGCTGATGGCTTATAGGACAGCAGAGCATGAAGCCACTGGATACACTTCAGCAAAGTTGATGTTTGATCGGGAACTTTGGTTGCCAGTGGATCTGTTAACAGGACGCATACCTTATAAAGAGTTTCCTGAAAATGTGTCAGAGTTTGTGAATGTGTTAACAGAAAGGATGAATGATATTCACCATCAAGTGCGTTCAAACTTGAAAACGTCTGCTGATCCTATGAAGTTATCTTATGATAAGAGATCTATTGAATTTAGCTTTGTACCAGGAGACAAGGTGTGGTTGTATAATCCCAGGAAGACCAAAGGGAAGTCTTCTCCATGGGAAGGCCCATATGACATAGTGGATCGTCTTTCAGACGTGACTTTCCAGATAAAATGTGGTCAGCGAGGTAAGCCAAAGGTGGTGCATGCCAACAGGCTTTGGCATTATTACGGTCCAGGACATTTCAGTTGGGATGAAGTGAACAATGAAACAAATGACGCTGCTGAAGACGTGTCACTTGAAAAAGCCACTGTCGAAGAAGAAATTCTATTCGGTTTTGAGAAGGGAAACAGTGAAGTCCTTACTATTACTGATGTGACTGTTACCAATGATAGGACATTTCCTGATGAAGCAGAAGCCAACGGGAAAGAGACCAGTATGGAAGAAGATATGTCCCAAAAAATTAAAAGACTTTGTTGAATTTTAATTTTGTGTTTGTAAATTCTGTACATTTATTTATTAGTTTAATGTAAGTTGCTAATGTTCGGGACGAATAATACTAAGGAAGGGGCAATGTTACGACAGTGGGGGTCACGTGTCGAGTATTCTAGAAGATTCGCTAGTCTGTTGCAACAGCAGGGTCGCGTGACGAATATACTAGAAGATTCGCTAGTGTGTTGCGACAGCGGGAGTCAATTGACGCTGGTAGCACGTGTTGAGAGTCTTAGAAGTTTCTAAAACAGGCAGTATTATCATATATAAGTGCACTAGACAGTGAGAGAGACAGAAGGAGTCGAAGCAGTAGAGGAGACAGAGACGTAGCGGAGATGAAGCAGGCAGAGAGAAAGAAAGACTGAAATGTTACGACAGTGGGGGTCACGTGTCGAGTATTCTAGAAGATTCGCTAGTCTGTTGCAACAGCGGGGTCGCGTGACGAATATTCTAGAAGATTCGCTAGTGTGTTGCGACAGCGGGAGTCAATTGACGCTGGTAGCACGTGTTGAGAGTCTTAGAAGTTTCTAGAACAGGCAGTATTATCATATATAAGTGCACTAGACAGTGAGAGAGACAGACGGAGTCGAAGCAGTAGTGGAGACAGAGACGTAGAGGAGACGAAGCAGGCAGAGAGAAAGAAAGACAGCGATTACAGTCAGCAGGAACTGAGGATAGCAGACACAGAGATCGGAACTATAGTTTGCGGGGATGGACAATTAAATCTAAGAGCGATAGAAAGTGAGTGAATTGTTGTGAACTATAGTGTGTGTAGCTGTGAAAATTAACTACATTACAAAGTTGTATTGAGGAAGAATAAACAAGTTTGTAAAGAAAGGACTTGTATCTTAGAAGAATTAACAAACAAACATACAGAGACGTAACATTACTAAAAATATTAATAGCACTGGCGTTATGAGATACAGTATTGACTGTATTTACGTCACTTTTAGGTTTGTGCACAACTTCTTGAGGATCGATTCTTACCCGTTTTTTCTTCGTTGTAAGAGTCACTTCCAGTTGAGTTGATATAGGCCCAAGTGATCTAAGATTATAGTCATGGGTCACTGTATCAGCTTGTGTTGTCACTGCAGTACTAGAGGTATTATCCTCAGTTGCTGGGAACTACCTTCGCTGTTGCCACTACAAACTGAGACATCTTCGGTTGTTATTACTTCATCACCTAGTACAATACTCTCATCTTCTTCTGATTCTAGTATTTCTGGTTCTAATATTTGCTCTTCATCATGAAACGATGAGTCAAACTCGCCCAGTTATCAGCCTCTTCAAGAATACTCATATCTTGTTCATATTTCTTAGTTTCATCTTTTACACACTGATATCAGTAAGGTTTATGGCACTTTACTTTTTTTTAACCTATTCACATGTACTAACTGTTTACCTTTTGCATAGACTTCTTGAATCTCAAAATTAACTGGACTAGTCTGTTTCAATACTCTAAGATGGACCTTTCCATAACTTTGCTAACTTTTTAGTGTTTTCTCTCTTGACAATCTGGGTGTACAACAATATTTTGTCCCCTAACTTTATATCACTAGCTTGTGCCTTCTTATTTACTTGTTTCTCTCTACCTTCAGCAGCTTTAGTTAGATATTCGTTAGCCAACTCAAATACCAACTGCATTCTCTATATTAGTTCTGCCTTATAGTCGTAATTTACTGCATAATTAACTTTTCTAGGAGCTAATATATACTGCATGGGTAACATAACATCTCTACCAAGCAATAGAAAGAATGGACATTCCTGATAAGACTCATTCTCAGCACTTCTATATGTTAATAACAACAAGGAGATCTGCTCATTCCAAGTTTTCAGATCTTTCTCATAGTATTGAGAAAAAGTGTCTAACAATGTTCTATTTAATCTTTCTACTAAACCATTAGCAGCTGGATGATAAGCTGTCGTCTCAATTTTCTTCACACATAATAGCTCACAAACTTCTTTCATTAACTTAGAAATACTATTTCTATCTGCTAATAGATATTGGGGTATACCATATCTAGCAACTATGTTGCATATAAAAGCCTTTGTTATTGTTGCTGCTTTCTGATCAGGTAAACATATAGCTTCAGGATACCTGGTTAAATAATCTGCGACTACTAACACATATTTGTTTCCTGCGTAGGACGTAGGCATGATAGTAATATGTCCATAGCTACTAGCTAAAAGGGTGTCGTTAGACTCGTACATTCTTTGCAAGAGAGCATTCATAAAATGTGGGCTCGTTTTTGACATTCTATAAATGATTCACAGTAATCTTTAATATTTTTCCTCATGTTTAGCCAAAATAATATGCTGCTTATCCTACTGTACGTTTTAGCAAAAGCTAGATGTGCTGCGAATGGTGTGTCATATGTATTCATACCTTTTGTTTTCAAGTTATGTGGTACAACTAGTTGTAAAGACCTATTAACTTTTACCCTTTTACATAGGATATCTGAATCTAATATGTATTCGGTATCGTCTCCTTGTGTTAGTTTGTTTTATAAGGAGTTTACTATTGGATCTTTGTTTTGCTCACTAATCACATGATTAAATCCTAAATTATTTTTAATTCGTCATTATGTTCAGTTTGTACTTCTTTTACTTGGTTAATTGTTTGATTTTCTACAGTCTCTGTATTTTCTACTCTAATTCTACTCAAATCATCATTAGAATGCTTTCTACCTGGTCTTTTGAAGGCATATTGCTCACATACATAATGGATAGAATAGGGCTAAATACCCCTCCTTGGGGTACACACCTGCCTCTGAGGAGAATTCCTCAGAGTGGGTTACCCATACATTTATTTTACATGTTCTATTTTCCAAGAAGTTAGCCAGCGAATAAACACCCGCCTTAGTTCCAATTCCGTCATGCGGAACCTGCGACCATTGTGCCATACATAGACATCGATAAATCAGGTGACAGTGCATTTTTTTATTAAAGCTATCTATTATTGTTTCTGTTAGTCTAACCAAATGGTCAGTTGTCTGTCTGAATTTTCTAAAACCATTTTGGGTTTCTGGTAATTTAGAAGTGACTGCTAGGTAATTTGAGAGTCTATTGCTTATTATACATTCTAGAATTTTGCCTACACAGCTGGTCAGGCTGATCAGTTGGTAGTTGTTTCGTTTATTTGCTGGCTTTCCTTTTTTATGGAACATTAGTAGGATCGCTTGCTGCCAAGAAACTGGGATGTATCCAGAACTTAGTGATAAGTTAAAAAGTGTTGTGAGGTGTCCATACAATCTCATAGTGCCTCTTTTGAGGATGATAGGCTGCATGCAGTCTTCTCGTGGTGCCTTGTGTTTGGTAGCTTTTATAGCTTGTTGAATTCCCATTTGTGTAATTGTTTTTGTGAGAAGATATGTAATTGGGTTTTCTATTTCATCAAGGCTCTGTATGTTAACTGGGAATCTTGGTGTGTACATGGTTATGTTTAGTTTAATGTGGTTGATAACTTTGTTGCAGCAAGTGTACATTCATGTCTGGTTCTTGGTGCATTTTGTAAGTGTTCTTTAAATACTTTTGCCTTTTCAGTGTTTGTGTATGCAGTCTTATTTTGTGTTTCTAGAGGTGGGCAGTAACTTAAACTAGTTACATTGTTTTGTTTTTTTTCATTTAGTTCAGTTGCTTTTTTGTATGTTTTCAGGTTCTACTACTATTTATGCCTCATTGTCGTTTGGTCTTGTTATTGTGTTTGTTACAGCTGTGGCGTAGTTTGTTGTTTATTGTGCTTGCACTGTTGGTAACAGTGTCTTTCGCTGGTTGGGTTGTGTCTGTAGTTGTTTTTATGCATTTGGGTTCTGGGTGTTGTTTTTGGCATTGTGTTATGTAGTGATATTCGCCACACCCTACACATCTTGGGGCTGCCTGATAGGCTGCTGCTACATGCCCAAATCTTTGACAGTGGTAGCATAGAGTTACCATTATAGCTGGTGTCTTTGTCTGTTCCACTGTGTATCGTTGGTACCATATAATGAGACCATTGTTTATTAAATGTGTTATGTCTTGTGTGTTATCCATGTGTACGTTTATTAAGTTTGTTGGTTATGTTAGATATTATTATTTCAACTTTAGTAACGTGTATATCTTGTTGTGTTAGTGTGTCTTTATTATCACCTGAGTCAATGGAGTAGGGTACACCCTAGATCACAGAGGATCTGGATTGTGACCTAGCTCCTGGGAGGTGTAATGTGATTTGACATGTTTTGAATGCATCCACAAGTCATGTCTACAGTAGTTTGTTGAGGTCAGCGGGTTCCTATCCTAGAACTAGGACACCGCCCCTAAGTAGACATTTGATGCCAACGATTGAAACCTTAGGTTTACATCTTTTAATTTCCATAGCTAATTGTGGCTGATTA